TTCAGATGTTATTTTTAAGAATTAATGCAAGTTACAAACTCCACTTGAAAAAGCAGTTGTCACACTTAAATGTAATAAATGATGGAGGACCTCAAAATGGGTATGAATCTTAATCTCTCACCACTGCTCTGTGCTGAATGTTAGTCCTTGTCAGTGTTCATGGTCGGCTTCCCTGCTGCCATCATACTGAAGAAGAAAACCACCAAGTCAGCAACGTTGTTTTCTTCTCTTGTGGACACAGCCTCTTTGTATCTTCCTCCCACTGTCTCTGTTAATGACGGCTGTCCGTGTTCAGCTCCTTGCCGCACCTTAAAGACCCTCTCAGTGAGGCAGTGCGGGCTAGTGGCTCATAGATGCTGAGCGGTATTGCTGTGAACAGACAGGATTCAGAGCTCTACTCCAGGACCCTTGGACTAGGGGAGTGGCCTCATTTCTAAAATGATGAGGGTAAACTATGCCTTATTTTGGAAGAGTTCTGAAAAATAATCTATTATTAAAATAGTATTACATTTTAAAACCAATGGATTCATATTTTACAAAGTTTGGGATAAACTCTAGCTCTGCCACCTACTAACTTATATCTAAAATTTTGAATAAGATAATTACCTTATCTAGGCCTGAAATTTCTTAGACTTTTTGTTGTTGTTTTGACTTTTAGGCAGGGACCACCTCTTGCTATGTATACCAGACTGGCTTCCGATTCAAGAGATCCACCTTGCCTCTGCCTATAAGTACTAGGATTAAAGGTGTCCTAGAAATAATTAAAAAAAAAAAAAAAAAAAAACTCTTTCTTCCTTTCAAAAGAGAATTGAAGATTAATCTGAGGCTGGGGATGTTGCTGAGTGGTAGAGCACTTGCCTTCCATCTGTGAGGTCCTGGCTTCATCCCTAGCATGTGAAATGGGTGTGTTTGTGTGTGTATTAAAAAAAGAAAAAGCACCAACTACCTGTTAAACTTTGGTATGGTTTTCTTGGTGTGCCACATATTTACCTTTTTTTAAAAAATTGTGTATATGGGTGTTTTGTCTGCATGTCTATTTATGTACCATGTGCGCGCCTAGTGCTCTTGGAAGCGAGAAGACAGAGAGCATTGGATCCGCTGTAACTGGGGTTAAAGTAATAAGCTGCCATGAGGGTGCTGGCAACTAACCCAGGTCCTCTCTAAGACAGCAAGTGCTCAGAGCTGCTAAGCCATCTCTCTGGTGCCTGAAAAACTACCCTATGAGTGATAAGAAATATTGGTCATAGGTAACCTAAATAAATGCAAGAGAAATATGCTATTTCTATTTTAGATGCCTAATAGCATCTTCTTGATTCAGAGCCAGTTTAGAAGCGGGAATGACATGAACAAAGTATTTGCTCGCCTTCCTGTTGTTCCTTGTAATTCAACTCATTCATGCAGCTAGAGAACAGCTGAAAAGCTTAGACCTCTGCTTAGTCACACTGGGTCCTGATTCCCCTCATATCAAGTTACTGTAGTACTTATCTCCAGGTGTGACTGGAAAGTTGGATGTTCTAAATGAAATCACAGAAACACCTAGCTGATAACTAAATGTTCGTGATCCATTTTCTTGCTGTGAAGCCATTTACAAATTGACTGGTCAAGCATTATATAGATCAGGAAATTAAGACCTTTTCTTCCAAATCTGGATTGTGAATCATTTAGAGACACCGTTCAAGATTAAAGGCTGGATAGAAAAGATTCCTAATGTAAACATTCCCAGCCCAGAATGATCTAGGAAGTGTTATTCCCTTGTTGGCTACTTGGAGGGCCAGCTGGGGAGGGAAGAACCTGCTTTTTTTAGAGGGTAGGAGTTTCTCGCATCTCACCAGCATCTGTTGTGTGCCAGCAGACCAAGCTGCTGTCAACGACTGTACCTAAACCACATGTGACTGTTAGCTAAGTAGTTCATACATACTGGTTCCATTCTACATTGGTAAGCTACTAAAGACTTGAAGTCAATCATAATGATATTTTATTTGCCCATTAATAGAGTTTCTCCTAAATGAATTAAATTATACACATCACCCATACTGCACTACAAAAAAAAATTGCATAAAGGTTCTTAGGTGTTCCTCTGAGGCACTTTGTGGGTGGAGAGAAAAATCCTTGCTCAGCTGATGTTCCTTTTAAGATTAGTTCTTTTTATAATTTCCAATCTTCCATTTGGGTTGGGGAGTAACTCAGTGAGAGCGATTGCCTAGTAAGGCCTAGAGTTCAGTCCCTCTCACCCACTGCCCCCAGTGCATGCACAGTCTTGTTTTCTGTGCCTCTGTGTGTTAATGCTGTCACAATTCCTTTTACAAACTTACCTGAACTCCGAAACATACCTGGATTGAAAAAAAGAATATCAACAAAACAGTATCAACAAAACAGCATCTAAAATAACAAATTACACTTTAGTTTCTAAGAGTTCCCAGGCTAAACAGCTCCTGCTTTTCAGTTCAGGATCTAAAGGAAATGTTTTGAAGTCGGTATGAGTCTGACAGGTTTGCACACCAAAGTGAGTCTTTAGTAATACAATTGTTACACTGTGTGTGCTTTGTGGGAGATGGAATCACAGCCTTATTCATGCTAAGCAAGTACCCTACCCTTGAGCCGTCCGCCCAGCCTCAGCCCTCAGTGTCAAGCTTGAGACTCACTTGTGTTTGCATAAGAACCCCAACTTTCATTTAATCTCTAGGCACTGCCAGGAAACCTGAGCTTTGAGCTTCTCCTATCGTAGCCACACACACACACACACACGTTTTCATGACAACTAACTGAAACGATTTCAGTTTCACTTGTTATTTTCTTAGTTTATGCTTTTTAAAAATAAATCTCATTTTATCAGGTGGAATTTGTCACGAAACTGACTATAAAAGGCACCGGTTTATTCCTTTTCCAAACATTACCAAATCAGTATTAAATGGCCCTTTAGATAGTGGGAATCTGCTAAGTGTCAACATTTTTATCCCAAGTAATTCTGAATTTAAAACTATTCTAGCAGCTAAGCTAAGCATCTGAATATTGCTCCTTTAATTATCTGAATAGAAGTGTTACATTTACAAATACCTTTTTCCCACTCTTCAGGTTGGTCACAGCAGATGTAGCTTTTTACACTGGAAATCTTCAAGCCTTAAAAGGCCTTAAAGACCTGGATCTTAACATGGCCGAGATCTGGGAACAGAAGAGGTGATGGCAGACTAGAAACCTGGGTAGTTCATCTGACCACAGGACGTGTGTCTGAAGAAAATCTGGATGCCTGGTGTTTTAGGAACTGAACCTGGAACCCAAAGTGAACTGAGATGGGGGACGGGAAGAAGAAGGGTCAGTGTTGGGAGCTGGATTCAGTGGGATCTACAAGGATGCTATTTTTGTGCATCCTTTGGTAAGGAGTAATTGATCAGGTGTCTATAACATTTTCATTCTCTCTGGAAACAGACTCAGGTTTCTTTGGACCAAATCCAAAAGAACACATAGCTGTAACACAGCTGTAGTTGCCTAGAATGCTCTGTATACTTTATATTAAAAATGCTCTGCATTTCTTCCAGTGCAATGAAATTTATATGGTGTCCCACCTTATTTAATGATGGTACAATTGAAAATATTAAAATCTTAGTCAACCTCTGTAGAAAGTTTTCTCTATGAAAGTAAAGCTGTTTGAAAAATTATTTTTTTACAGATCTTTATAAAAAATAAACATCTTTTGATTGCTTGGATTTAGGAATTCAGTTTTTGTTTTAGTGACTAATGTCAGTTTCAGGTTTTGTGTGTTGCATATTTAACCTTTCACTACCACTGTATGTCACTGGGTAGAGCCTCAAACCGGTAAATATATGGAAGACTAATTATAAGGAATAGAGAATATTTGCATTTACTAATGCAACTACTAACTTAAATACTTTCCGGAAGTGATATACACAAAGCTATGGTTTAATAGCTGTATTTATAAAGTACCTATGAAGGGTTAGGGGTTGGTTATATTTTGTTTTTTTCTTTGCTTTTTTATTTCTAGCAGAGGCAAGAATGCATAATTTATATAATACGCCTACTTACAAATTCTCATCTTAACATTTAGATAACATGAAATATGGCCCTCTTGGATTCTTTTAAGTTACTTTTGATATGTATATAAGAAAAGACCAGGGATAAACAGAACTTTTAAAATACAGGCTGCTATGTCGGGGCCAGAAATACAAGGTCAGTGAGTAAGCTTTTTTAGAACCGGTAACACTCCACAATGAAAGTGCCTGTGCCTCACCCTGTCAGAGTGCCTAATCTTGTGCTGATAATGTACAATGAAATAATCTTATTTTGTGGGTTTTTTGTTTGTTTTCTCAAGAGGATTTTTTTTTAAATCATTATAGAGGTATGTCATTGGTTCTTAAACTGTCAAAATAAAGATGTAAAAAAATCAGACTTAAAAGGCAACTTTTTTCAATGGTGCCTCACCCTGTCAGAGTGCTTTACACACTCTGTTTACACATACAGTATACTTTAAACACAGCCTTTTCAAAACAAGTATGGAAGAACTGTAACATGACTTGACTAGAGAAAAGCATGTGTGAACTACCAGCAGATCTGATTTCAAAGGTTGTCAGTATTTTTGAGTGAAAGCAAGTAAAAGAACTGAACCTTTAATGAAGGAGAACTTCTAATTAAGTTATTATCCACTTTCCCAACACACTGTTCTAGAACAGGAGGAGGCTGTGAAAAACAGGCTTTACTTCTGCTTGTTCTGCCCCTTCAGCTGGGAAAAACCTGTTCCCTTAAATGTGGAAAACATGGCAGACATACTAGTGTTAAAACCAGGTAAGAACACTAAATACTTTCAAGTTTAGTCTCTGTGTTGTCATTAACAGTGTTTAATAGTCTTAGAAATGAAAAACAACCAACCAACCAGGATTGGCTAGCTAACCAGCTAGTCAAACATTCCAAGAAACCACCCTGGAGCAAGAGTACACTGTAGTCTCCTGCGGTTTCACAAAGTCAGCACTAGACAGCACAGGAAACAAGTGGATTGTTGTATCATTTTATTTTTTAAAATCAAAGGCAATTCAAAGTGGCCATCACTCAAGCTTCTGTTAGAGACTGGCCGAGCTGGCCCAGTTCTAAGATTAAATAATATTGCACTTTAAGATGAACTACCTAGGCTCTTCATCAGAGAAGGAAAGTATTGCTCCATCTAGGCTTTCCTTAGGCTAAAAGCACACTGCAGAAAACTCTACTTTAAAAATCAACACTGCAGAGTACAGCGCAGTAAAAGTACCTGCTTCTTTGAGAATCGTAGAGAACATTTTATTGTAAGAAACTCTTTAGCCATAATTAGTATAAAGTATATCTGGCATCACTTAGTTCAGTGGTCCAAGATTCGAAGATTTCCAGATACAATCTTGTTCTCTAACACTGCTCCAGGGGGGATGTCAATTCTGTCACCATGATTTGCAATAATGATAACTGTTCCCTAAGTGAAGAAAAGAAAAAAAAAGGAAGATTTTACTTAAAACTGAAGCTGAAACATTCACCTGGTTATCTTAAACTCAAGCTCATGTTCAGCTCCTTTAACAATGTACTTGCTGTAAATGTAAGATCAGACATGAAAGGAGTACAATAACGTGTCCTTCTATCACGCTCCTAGTGCTGGCTCTACACTTGTTAGAGGTGGCACAAGTGAGAAGCAGACATACAAGTGCCCTGTCTCAGGCTCATTTACAAGGTATTATTCAGTCTTAAGAAGACTGTTGTGTGTCTATCGCTGCACCTGCAAATGCATGTGGAGACCAGAGGACACCCTCAAGTGTTGTTCCTCGGGTGTCACATACCTCTTTTTGAGAGGAATCTCTCCCACCTCGCTGTGAGCAACATGGTGAGACAGCAGGCAAGGCTAACCACACATCTACTTCTGCAGTGCAGGTGCAACAACTCCGGCACCACTGTGCCTTCTTACATGGGCTTCACAGGTTTGTGTCTCCTTGGCCCCTACCCCTTCCTTTTTTTTTTTATTTTTAAAGAACAGTTATTGGAAACATTTCTTATATCTCAATGAGACTTAATCTAAAGTAGTATGCACACAAGAAGTTATGGTCATGTATTATTCATGTATAATGTTGTTTTAACACCTTCGTTGAAGCAAATGGCCCTAACACAAAAGAACACTTAAAATATCAATACAGGAACTTTATAAGATTATATTATATTAGGAAAAGGCAAGGATATCTTCAGTTGTGAGCTTTAATTATCAACCCTCTTCATATTTCTCAGCAGGAATAGATGAGTCACTATAAGTAATCACAATGCTAACGGGCTATTCTGAAGACTGTCCCACTTCACTACTATCTAATGTTTCATTTCTCGTTGAGGGTTACATTCCAGAAAATTCCTGTATTGATCATGCTTGTATTTGAACTGATTATGTATCTGGATACAGTAGTACTAAATACAATGATGATCACCTGTCCTCACTAAGAATTACTCCTTAATGAAGGTAAATTTGGGACTAGAAAGTTAAACCTATTTTATAAGGCCATAATAAACATTACTTTCATAATACCAACCTTTAATGAAACATTTTTCCCAAATGTTACATCTCCTGAAACAGTGAGGTGGTCCAATTCCAGCATATCAGGTATACTTTCAAACCTTCTTAGGTAATCTTGAACCTTCAAGTAGAAGCATAACAAGTGTTTCAGACAACAGCACATGAAACCAAGGGAGCCAGAGGAATCCGAGGACTTTACCTTTCAATACGCCATAAGGATTTTCTCTCATGTTTCCAGTTTTGACCTCTGCTCTTACATATATACCTTATGGTTGTTTTGCTTCTGTTCATACACTGCTCAGTTACATTTCAGAATTACTGTTTTCATTTCTCCATCTTAATTATACTTATGCATTCTTTATTTAACTCTTTAGCTGCATCTCATACACTCTCCCTTATTTTTTCTTTTTCTCATCCTTTCTGAGCACTTCATTGTATTTTTAATCAAACCATCCATAGCTTTAAGAATCCCAGACAGTAGCTCAGCTTTCCCTCCTCACTACTTTACCTCGTTTTCTTTTCAAAGTCAACTCTACTGTGGTATTTGACATGAGACTTGTCCCCCCATATGCTCTAGTATTTGAATACTTGGTCCCATTCTCAGTCCACAAATCCAGCCCTACAGAAGTTAGCTGCACCCATGAAAATAGGCAGTAGATAATCTCACACCAGCAAAACCCAAAGAAGGGAAACACACTATCATCAACAAAACCAAAAAAATAACAGGAATTAACAATCACTGGTCAATAATATAAATGGACTCAATTCACCTATAAAAAGACACAGGTTAACAGAATGGATACGAAAACAGGATCCATCGTGCTGCACACAGGAAACACACCTCAACTTCAAAGACAGACATTACTTCAGAGTAAAGGGTTGGGAAAAGATTTTTCCAATCAAATGGACCTAAGAAGCAAGCTGGTGTAGCTATCCTAATATTGAGTAAAAATAGACTTCAAATTAAATTAACCAAAAAAGACAGAAGAGGACATTTCATATTCATCACAGGAAAAATGCATCAAGATGAAGTCTCAATTCTGAATATTTATGCCCCCAAACAAGGGCACCCACATTTATAAAAGAAACAAAAACTTAAATCACACATTAAGCCCAATTCACTAATAGTGGGAGACTTCAACACCTAATTCTGACCACTGAACAGGACTGCCAGACAAAAACAGAGATATAAAAACTAACATGTCATGACTCAAATGGACTTAAACACCTATAGAACATTCCACCCAAACACAAGAATATGCCTTCTTCTTAGTACCTCATGAAACCTTCTCTAAAATTGACCATATACAAAAAATTGGAATAATGCCCTGTAACTTTAACAGATCACCAGGGGTTAATTAGAATTCAACAATACCACAAACTATAAAAAGCCTACAAACTCGTGGAAATGGAACAATGTTCAACTGAATCACCACTGAGTCAAGGGAAAAAAATAAAGATTTCCTAGAATTCAATGAAAATGAAGGCACAACATACCCAAACTTATGAGACACTATGAAAGCAGTGCTAAGAGGAAAGTTCATAGCACTAACTTTCTACATAAAAAATTCTGGAGAAATCACACACTAGCAACTTAACAGCACATCTGAAAGCTCTAGAACAAACAAGAAGCAAACACCCAGGAGGAGTAGATGGCAGGAAATAATTAAACTCAGGGCTAAAATCAACACAACAGAAACAGAACAACACAAAGAATCGATGAAACAAGGAGTTGAATCTTTGAAAAGCAATCAGCAAGATAGACAAACCCTTATTCAAACTACCCAAAAGGCAGAGAGAGAATACCCACATTAAAATCAGAAATGACCCCCAGGAAATACAGAGGATTATTAGATCATACTTCAAAAACCTGTATCCCACAAAATTGGAAAATGGACAATTTTCTTGATAGGTATCACATACCAACATTAGATCAATGCCAGACAAACAATTTAAATAGACCTATAAACCCTAAGGAAACAGAAGCACTCATTAACAGTTTTTAAAAAATAAAAAAAAGTTTCTAAGCCAGATGGTTTTAGAGCAGAATTCTACCAGAACTTCAAAGAAGAGCTAATTCCTCAAATTGTTTCACACAATAGAAACAGAAGGAACATTGCCAAACTCTTTTTATGACGCTACAGTTACCCTGAGACCCAAACCACACAAAGACGTAACTAAGAGAATTACAGACCAATGTCCCTCATGCAAAAATACTCAATAAAATACCGGTAAACCGAATACATGAACACATCAGAAAAATCATCCACCATGATCAAGTAGGCTTCATCCCAGAGATGCAGGGCTGGTTCAACATATGAAAATCTGTCAATGTAATACACTATATAAACATAGGGAAAGAAAAAAGCCACATGATCATTTCATTAGATGCTAAAAAAAGCCTGTGACAAAATCCAGCATCCCTTCATGATAAAGGTATTGGAAAGATCAAAAATACAAAGAACATTCCTAAACAATAAAAGCAATTTACAACAAGCCAACGGTAAACATCAAATTAAATGGAGAGAAACTCAAAGCAATTCCACTAAAATTAGGAACAAGACAAGGCTGTCCACTCTCCATCTATTCAATATAGAACTTGAAGTTCTGGCCAAGTTCTTCTATGGGAAGAACCTGTTAGTTTGCACTCATTATAGCCAAGCCCCTGTGAAGAAGAGACCAGTAGATAGATAGGGTAATGTTTCTAAAAACTCAAGCATTTTATAATCCTGTTGATCAGATGTTTGTTTTCAAATGAGAAAACAAATAAATAACCATCATATTAAGCCAGATGAGCAGTTCACACAGTCAGGATTTAGAAAAAGAGGAGAGACCACCAAGGCTTGAAATATTCTAGACTGCAGTTGGCCTTACAGGACGGGTAGGAGTCACAGGTGCAGCAGGGCTCAGGACAAGAAAAAGCACAAAGTATAAGCAATCCTATATGCGTTTGCTTTCTATTTTGCTGAGAAAATAAGCCTGACTGGTTTTGGCCCTACTATGCCATTCTGCCTCCTTGTCTTTTCTCTACCGTTGTTCTAGTGCTACAAAGACTCTATTCAGACATGAAGGCAACTTCACTGTTAGAGCTTTCCTTAGCCTATTTAAGAATTTGTTCCAGGAGTCTGCTTCAATTGTATTCCCCTCCTGACTATATTAATTTCCAACAATATATAAGTAAATTCTCTCACATTTATGAAACAGAACCCCTTAAAATTTATGTCCTTTTTGGCCTACTACCCTAATTTCTGTTTTTCTTTGAGGCTTCAACTCTTAAAATCATTTCCAACTCCAATTCTCCCAGCCTTCCTTAAATCCATTCCAACTAGATTCCCAAACTTTACACTGGTAAGTTTAATGGTGAATTCTCATCTAGCTTGAATGAGCAACGGCATTTGACACCTAATTCCTTCCACCTTGAAACTTCTTTTGCATCTTTCAGGAAGCACATACTCATAGTTTACTATTCAATTCTTTTTTTTTTAAATATTTATTTATTTGTTATATATACAATATTCTGTCTGTGTGTATGTCTGCAGGCCAGAAGAGAGCTCCAGACCTCATTACAGATGGTTGTGAGCCATCATGTGGTTGCCGGGAATTGAACTCAGGACCTTTGGAGGAGCAGGCAATGCTCTTAACCTCTTAACCTCTGAGCCATCTCTCCAGCCCCTACTATTCAATTCTTCATCTGCACTACAGACCAAATGGCACTCAACCATGTCTGGGACTAGACTAAACTTAGATGTCATAGCAGGCTCCCTGAGGCTTGCCACTAACTTGCCCTCTGGTATTAGGGTGTTTTCTAAGTCTAGTTATCACCCCTGCCTAGGTGAAGCTCTCTACCCTAATCCACAACACACTCAGCTTCTTCCTGAGGCTCTGTGATGCCATCAACTCCACCACACATTTCCAGCTCCACCCTTGCTTTATTTCTCTATAGTTTCTACCACCTGCTACACTAAATATTTGATGTACTGACTTCTTAGCTTCTCCCAGTAGAATGCTAATTTTATGAAGATAGGGATTTTAGTTTGCTTTGTTTGCTGCTAAATCTCCACATCCAGAAACTGCCCAGGAGATAGTAGGAGCACGATACATATTGATTGAATGAGATTTAACCCTTTCTGACTGATGAAAGCATCAGTCATGTCCCCACATTAAAGCATTTTTTCCTACTCTCCAGAGCAACTACAGAGACTACAGTCAATTCTTATAAATCACACCAGAGATGGAGGGCTATAAAAGGTCAGTAGTAAAAAGTAATTCTCTGATTATCTTTACAAATTACCTACCTTGGTGAAAGAACTTCCTAATTTAACCAAGGGTACTGTAGGAAATTCCCGCTTCTCACTCATGGTTAAAGATCCTGCATTAAGGCTATAGAGGTTTGACATCACAAGCAAGAGATCTGATGTGGTCTTCACAGGCAGAAATCGACTCCTTGGAACATTAATACCTAAAGAATTTTCAAAACTTTTAATTGCAGCTCCAACTGCAGTTTCTAACTGAATGACATTCAGGCCTCCATCCAAAGTCTATAAAAAAGTAAGAAGGAAAAAGGTCGGGTAAGAATGGGGAAACCAAGAGTTTGGGGCTTGTTTGTTTTTAGACAGAATTTCTCCTATCAAACTCACCATGTACTGAAGACAACCTTGAACTAACTCTACCTCCATTCCCAAGTGCTAGAATTATGGGTGTATGCCACCACACCCAGGGAACACAGGTTTTAATGCACCCAGCTGTGTTCCATGTGTGATGTTAGTACTTGGAAAGTGGTTTCATAGAATCAGAGAACAGACATTAATTAGCCAAGTATTTGTATTATGCTCCACATATGATTTTCTTTTTAAGTTTCTTAACTTGAGTGAGCAACATGGCTATTTTTCAGTAAAGAACCAGGAGTTGAGAAAACTTATACAAGATTCCTAGAGATAGATGGCATAGGAGCATAGAGGATTGATTCCTACAGACGGCACGTGTGTAGAAGATTCCTACAGACAGATGGCACGTGTGTAGAAGATTCCTACAGACGGATGGCATCTGAGTATAGAAGATTCCTACAGACAGATGGCATCTGAGTATAGAAGAAGTAGTTACACTGAAGGAGATCCTTTCAGCTTGGGGTCAGGAGCACATCACTGGGGTGAGTGCAGAATTGGAGAACCTGACTAGACAAAACAGTCTGACTGATGGGACAGCCAAGCCAGAGGGAGCTGGCAGGGATCTGCCTCTAGAAACCATGACCTTCGCTTACCTTTGGATTCACAATAATTTCCATGTCAATGGCATTCTGTTCCTGCAGTCTTTTAACTGCTGCAAGAGAAATCCATAGGTTGTTTGTGTTAAATATTTTAAACTTTGACACAGACTTGAATTCATCAACATGTGCTTTTGGCACTTGAGCGATTTCCACCAGTCTGAGTTTGCCTTCATACTGAGTGAGTGTCCCACCCTAGAAAAGCAGAAAATCATGAGTGCTTCCAATTCTCTTGCAATCAGCCATACCACACTGATTATGAATTCTATAGAATTTCATAGAAGACACTGACTATATAATCTTCATAATTCAGATTGTTACTTTACCATAAACACTCACTGTCCTGTCCATAACTAAAGCCCTGGGAGTACTCAGAGTCCTCCTCCCCTTCCTAAGGTCTAGGATGGGGGGAGAAGGGAGACAGACGAGTGAATGAGAAGTAGATCAAGGCTGGAGATGTCCTTACAGCCATGAGACCATCCCAGTGTGGGGGAGGAGGAGGAGGTACAGAATCCAGGGCAGCCGTGTGGTGTCATCAGCTACAGCCATTGTATCACCACCAAATATGCCATGTCCGTTTATACTTTGTACTAAACAACTGCATTCATTATTCTTTCATAACTACAAAGATAGCGCAGTGATAAAGTGTACATGAAATACATACACACATTTTATAGAAATAAATTTCCATGAAAAGGATAGCATAATAAAATATGAAACTTGAAGAGGAGTAATGGTGTGAAAAATTTGCTGTGCGTTCTCACATAGTTCAGATTCGTTCCATAAAAATGTATGAAACTATTTTTAATTTAAATTATTGACATAGGTTTACACTCTTATTAATTCTGGGCTCATACACATTGTTTTTTTTAGAACTTAAGGTACCCCACAGAATAACATCACACTCTCTTAAAATGATGTTAAGTAAATAACAAATATGTAGTTCATAAAATAGAAACTTATCAATAAGAAAAAATATTTTATCTATGTAATTTATCAACTGTAAAAACATGAATCTCCAAATTGATTCTTCAGTATTTACCTTTACGTCTGCTCGTGTTTTATTTGTGACTTCCATGACAAATTCACAGCGCTTCCCATTGGGTGGGTTCATTAGATGATTGAGAATATAAAGATCCACTGTGGCACCCAGGTTATCTATGTTAGACACAAAAATATACTCTTTGCCTTCTTCTAGAAAGGTGTTGAGCAAGCCAGAGTTGTAGAAACTAGCATAGATATCTCCATGCCCTGGAGGATACCAAGCTTCTGTACTTTCCCCTGAGTAAGATACATCCTTTGCTACAGGAAGTAAAGATTCCTTATTAATCCTAGGGTACCTTTAAAAACAAAATGAGAACATTATTTATTGTAGCACGAATAAAACAATACATTAAAATTAAATAAGGGCTGGAGAGACGGATCAATGGTTAAGCACATGTACGGTTCAGCTGCCAGCACCCATGTCAAATGGCTTACACGTTCCTGTAAATCCAGTCTCAGGGGACCTCCATGGGAACCTGCACTCATGTGCATATACCAACATAGATATACACAGATATGCATAATGAAAAATAAAATAAAATCTTTTAATATATTAAATAAAACATCCCTCCATTTCAGAGACTGTCAATAGTAAATTATAGGTGAATCGTTTTAGGAAAATCTGTCATTACTATTTTTTAAAAATCTATTTTCTAGATAGTTATTCAAAGGAAGTTTTCCAAAGCCATACAGAGAGGAAGGCCCTTCATATTTTTAAGATCGTTTTTACAATTCTCCAAGAAGATGGACTCAGTAAGTAAATGTTTTTAAACTTCACTGGTTCTTATGCCTGAAAATCTGAGACCATCTGCCCAGTCTTAAACACATGCACCCAGGGTTGCTCTCCCTCCTTTAGCACCCAGGTGTCAGCACACGGCTAAGAGTTGGCATCCAGTAAAGGAAAGCAGGAAGAGCGTGGACAGACTACTAGGAAACAGGAAACAAACACATTAGGATGGGGAAAGAAAAGTGATGTGAAAACAGATTTTAAAATGGTCCAACTTTAGACACTGTTTCCAGAAGCTCCTGCAGCCTGCTGTCCACCTCTAACGGAAGGCCTGTCCCCAGTCACCTCGCCTCCTTCTACTCACTCTACTCCCTGAGTGGATGTGTTTATCTACTTAGATAAAGAAACCCCTGCCACAGGGAAGGTGTTCAGTGTCTTCACCCAGGACATTCATCCAGGACCCAGGAATTCACCCACTGACTAGAGACTTTCTAGACTGCCTTTAAAGATCTGAGACATAGGATAAGATCTCAAGAAGATCCCCTGAGAAACTGGAAACGACAGAGCCATAGTTTATAACCATTACATACTTATCAACCTCTATATAATTTTTTTAATTTTTTTTTTTTTGAGACAGGGTTTCTCTGTAGCTTTGGAGCCTGTCCTGGAACTAGCTATGTAGACCAGGCTGGCCTTGAACTCACAGAGATCCTCCTACCTCTGCTTCCCAAGTGCTGGGATTAAAGGTGTGTACCATCACCACCAGGCCCAACCTCTATATAATTTTATAGTTATCAAGTTCTTCCAAGAATTGACCTTTGCTGCTATGAGGCAACTATGTTGCAACAATGAAGAGAATTCCCAGGGGTCACAATTCCAATAGCTAGCTATTTTTATTTCTTGTACCTGCTTTGATTGAAGGTGTAGATTTTCACGCGGCAATGATTGTACTTCTGAAGTATTTTTTTTGTGTCTTCATCCGTGTTAAAAGAGTTCATTAAAACAAGAGGGACATCTGTATTGTAGGTTTTGTTCAAGTGCTGAAGAGCAGAGTGACAATCAGATCATCCAAACTCATGTTCTCTGACTTGCAATCTAAAGTTGACTCTTCAATGGCTAATCACAAAATGTTTAAAGCTTGATCTCTGGATACACACACACACACACACACACACACACACACACACATTTTACAAACGTGACCACCTGGTGTAAGCCAGATATGTGGGTAAGCAATTCATCACATGCTCATTTAGTAAATCATGGCCCTCTAAAATAGAAGCTACTATCTGCATTTCATGGCTAACTCAGCTGAGGCCCAGATTTGGTGGCCTGGGACAGTCCCCACTGGAGCTGTGTACATGTCAACAGTACTATGGCCTGAAGGTAGACAGGTGCTAACTAAGCATTTGCTCTGTATCCGAGCACTGTGGGGATGAGAACACAATTGCAACAAAGTCATGGTTTCCTATTCTCAGATGAATTTCAAACTCATCAATCACACCTCAGCTGAAATCTTCCCTCTCTCAAGAGCTAAGAGGCAGCATAGATTTTTACACACAAAACTATCTTGTAAGCCTTGTACTTGGAGCCCATCCTTATCTAGAAAATGGGAGTAACAGTACTTGTGAGAGGATGAAAGGAGTCATTTTGGAGAAGGTGCTTAGAATATCTGGTGTGTAGTAATACTGGACAAATGTCAGCTTAGCTGCTGCTGCTGCTAGTGTTATGACTGTAGTTGCTAGGACCAAACTAGACAAGGGAAACAGATGAAAAAAAGTCTCTGGTCCATAAGGTCCGCAATTAATAACTTTGTCAAAGAAGAAAGCCAAGATTAGTACTGCATCTGCTACGTCCAACCAGACATGTGACATCCTCCCCAGCTTCCCAAGAGGGGTCAACCCAGAAAACTCTAGTGTCATGAAGGTTGCCACCAGGAAAAAGTAGTAGACGGTACATTGAAGAGAATCTGAAGAGACCCAGAGCCTTCAGCAACCACAAATGCTATTTAATATTTAACATCAAGCTTTTGCGTCTTAAGGATATGTCCTTACACACACACCCACACATTAATAGAGACAAAATGGACTCAACCTCACACCCACATTTACTAATAGAGCACTTATGTTAATGGAAACACTAAACCTACTTTAGTATGAGAATGGCCAAATACTACTCACTTCAATTTGCTGAACAGTAAGATCCAAAAAGGTATTCTCATTTCTTACACCAATCAGACTTTTAGGGCCTTTGCAGCCCATGCTGGTTCCCAAACCACCATTGAGTTTCACCACCACCAGTTTGTTCAACACAGAAGATATATTATCAGGCAAGCCTCTGGCCTTTATCTTTTCATAGGGTTGAATCTGAAAAAAAAATAAAATAAAATTAGAGGTGTCATTTGAGTAGCTTTATGAGACAGTAAAGACAATCAATCCCAAGATTATTTCCATGGTTCCTTAAAGTTTTGTTCTCTCAATGTAAAGTTCCAGCAAGGTCACATGGCAATTCCCCTTGCATAAGGACGTAGGCCAACGGCATGTTTAATGACAGTGGAGTGACAGTGTACAACCATTTGTCTGACTGTTGTCAATATCTAAATCTTGAATTATCTTAAGATGCTATTGCCAATCTTGATCAAAATATCAAATACCCAAATCTCATCAAGTCTAAACATTTAAGGTACATTATGAACATTATTAATCATATACTATTTTTCCTACCACAGGAGGCAAAAAAACAAAACACAATTGTTTTTTCTATTTCCCCATTTAGTTGTAAGATAACCCAGCAGAAGGTGGTGCAGGCGCAGTCACAGTTCTAGGTAGGCACAAGCACAGTTCCTTCCTCAGAAATTTAACTCTAGGCTGTCACTTTCTAAAAACTTGTACTGGAAAATGAAATGTCCTTGTTCTAAGAAATGCCCTGGGAGGGAAGGAGAGAACAAAGGCTGGAGCTGTGGAAATCCCAGTCCCACATCCTCTCTCGCATCCTAGCTCGCTCTCTGTGGGCACAGAACCTTAGCCTTGAATTTCTCGTGTAAGTACAGAAACAATAACATTTATAGGAAATATTGATGTCCAAAGAAGAGCAACAAATCTTACTTCTTATAGCAAGAATGAAAGCATTTTTAAAAATCAAAATGCATTTCCTATCCATCTGTGACATTTTTGTTATTCTGCTTTAATAGGATAAGCCCTCAAATGGCCTCTTCCATCACAGTACAAGACAGATAACATGAGAAGACTGAAAACTTGAGCCAACAGTGGTTACTCTGTGAACTCTGCTGTTATTTGTCCTGTGACCTGTAAACATGTCCTTGTCTGAAAACATTTTGATTGGGACAGGAAGGAACTGATGGGCTCACCTCCTGTGATCTTGGCCTTGGAGACCAACATCTCCCTGTGTGTGATGGACCATAATTCTTGTTCACAGATGTTCCTACAAAATACTCCTTTGTAACATAATTCTTAACTGCCAAGTGTGGATGAAGACTCTTCTACTCGATGTAAACACTAAGAACACAAAGAGCTCTTCTTCCCACTGAGAACCCTCGCTATGCCCCATTCTGAATGACTTGTTAGTGTGGCAGGACTGTCGCTGTCCTTGTAAAAGTAGCTAAATTCCCATTCATGAACCAAAAAGAAAGGCTTGCGACAAAAGCACTGAAGAGGCTTACAGGCGCTCTAAAGAAGAAAAAGTCCCAAATTTAAATGTTACACCATTAAAAAAAAAAGACTAGATGACAGAAAAGGGACCTTTGTGCCCTTATGTGACAAGGTAGTTTATGAATCCTTTCAAATACAGCTGTTGAGATCAACCAGTGAGTAAGAGGATGCTACTATGACACAATGGCTTCAAGTAGTCTATTCTGTTAGGAGATTATGTAACATATACACACACAACACACACACAACACACACACAACACACACACACACATATATATATGCTCTAAAAAGTTAATTATTTTCCAATTATTTTGTAAAAGCCAGGAACTTCCATTTAGCAGTTACTTTCACTTCCCACATCAAGAACTTAGCTGAAAATCCACTTGTTACATTCACTTTAGGTAAAACTGATACCTCGGAAATATTACTTAATGCCCTGGATATGTTTTTTAAAAAATAGAATACATAAAAGCAATTTTCCCCCAACACAGTGAGTTAGGCCTGTTTTCCAATTCTACCTTAAAATTTTAATTGTGAAACATTATGTATGTGGCCTATAGATGAACAACTGGAAGAATGAATGTAAAAAGCATACAGCAGTAACTAGGGAACCTCCATGTCCCCGACGCTGACCACATTCTCCCCCACCTTCCCCGTTAAGCATCATATGAGCTCCTACTCTCTCACTGCAGTTTCACCATGGATAGTACTTATTTTTCTCTAAACTTATGAATATAATTGAATCATACTATAAAATAGGTGCACCATCAGAACAAAACGTACTGTGATATGGCTTTCACATATCTGAACATTCTGATGCATAAAGACACAAATATCTAGATGTAAGGGACAGTAAAAAGATTCCATGTAATGAGCTAGAACAATGGCTCAGCAAGTGGTCAAGAGTACTTCCTGCTCTTCCAAAAGGCATGCATTCGATTCTCAAATTCTTAGCACCCATATCAAGTGGCTCACAGCTACCTGTAACTCCAACTTCAGGGGATCCAATATTCTCTTCTGGCCTCATTGGGCAGCAACACACACACAGGCACACAAAGGCATACACACAGACAATCACAGTTGAAGTAGAATGTTTAAAATAGAAAAAAACATTACAGTTAATGATTTCATGTACAATAATGTTTTCAAATATTTAAGTTAAACTTGGAAGCAGAATAAAACAAAAAGTCAATGTATAAACAAGTTAGATGTCGTTAAGAAAATATAATTTATACTTTTAGCTGACAGCTCTTGAAATGCAGTTAAATAATAATGTCAGGAAGGATGACAGAATTTGGATCACATCTTAATTCTATATGCTAAGGAATTCTTTGGTACATCAACATTCCTATTAAATAAAGAACTTTGGGATCCACGTTTAATCTTTAGCTATTTAATTCCCCTAAGGTCCATTTTCTTCAAGAATGGATGCTAAAGGAATTTTTATTTATAATGAAATTTGAAAAATGGAACCAAACACCAATCTCACCGACTTACAATATTTCCAGGAGGAAAAACAAAAACAAAACAAAAAAACACAACTTCAAAATTATGATGTTCATGACAAATAATCTCTGTTCCATACATCATCAAGTTTGTGAAATAAAATATTTAGAGATAAGAGTTGCCGATATTCTTTACAGTAATCAAACTTCCAAACGCTACACGGGGCGCAGCACTGCACGCCTGTAACCCAGCACTCAGCAGGCAGCACTGCAAAGGGCAGCACAGGAGTGAGGCTAGTAGAAGGTTCCGAGGACAGAACAAGGGCACAAGGGGTTAAACAGGTAGGATGCGCAGAGGGAGAGGGCAGAGAAGGGAGTGGGGGTAATCAAACCACAGATATGAAAAGGCCCTAAGAAAATCAGATACATGGGAGACTAATTTATAAAAAAAGTTTTAAGCTCTGGGGCATGGGAACTCACAACTCAAGGCAAAAAAGGAAAAAAAAAGTTAATATTCAACGCCTGGGGTTTTCTATGAAGTGTTATGTACTAAATTAGTATCAGTGACACCTAGCTGTCTTAGGAAATCTGACTCTTGAAGAAAAAAAGGTCCTACCGAGGAATTTGTTTATAAAGGAAAGAATCTGAGAAGAGCCATTAGAGGGCAAGGAAGAAGAAATTCAAACAGCAATGAATCGGGAAGAAACGCCAGGAGCGTTTGAAGTTATTTTGCTGTTGGAAACCAGCAATGGAGGAGGTCTGTGAGTTAGCTTCATGATTTACCCCACCCTAAACTCCTTACCCAGCAAAGACACACAGCACACTGACACACAGGACACAGACACCGGGACAAACCCAAAGACAGATGAATCTAGTAACTATTTGATTCCAAGAAGCCAGGATATTTTTGTCTAGAGTTTATTGCAGGTTTTAAGTTATTCGTTTATTAGGGAGTAAGCAAAGATTCATGTCATATAAATCATCCTGTACATAACAAAAGTGCCCTGTCCATGAGTGTCCAAACCCTCCACCACAGGACCTCACCAAGCAACCCCAGAGAGCTTAGTTTAGTTCAACAAGCCAGGGGGGTGGAGGTGGAGGTGGTGTCAGTGCTGGAACACTGCTCAGCAGCAGCTGGTCACACCCTGGACACACCCAGTCACAGCACCATTTTTAGACCCTTGACATCTAAATTCCTCAGTAGGATCCTTTTCAGATTCACTAAGATGGGTCGGTATCACTGACAGTACCATATAAAGAGTGCTGGCTCCTGGACATCTGCAGAAGGTAGGTGGAGTCTATATAACTTAGGACACGGAACTTCACAGAACATGGTCTCCCGTGCTTCCTCGAGAAAATACACACATATACTGAGATACAATGGGTGGTCTCAGGACACAACAGCCGAAATGTGACTCACACTGAATCCCTGGAGTCAAGGACTAAGAGTGACCAGCTTTGAGCTTTCAATCCTAATTGTTAGGTCTCACACAGTACCTGTGGAAGTAGTTACAGAAGAGATTTTTGTCCCTTATCAACAAAAGGCTGGAATGTAAGGCCTCAAACCCAGGACAAATCTCACTCAATACCTGTGGCTCCTCCCCGCACTCCTCACCAGGCTCCTACCCTAAACCTCTCTCCCCCAGGCGCTGGGCTCCCACCCCATCCCAACTCCCCAGGTCTGACCTCACTCAGTCATTTTGGTTACCCTGGTCTCTTAGCCCGGGCCGCCTTTCTTGGTTAATGGCTCTTCTCTTGTTCTCCTCTCATGGTGGTGTTTAGTCGGCCAGCCCTGTTCAGCCTGGATTCCTCCCTCTGCCTGCTCTCTCCACTCTATCTACAATAAAAATCTTCTCCATGTCCTTTTATTTCCTTTGAGCATTCACTCACTGATCACTCTATTTCCCTGTTTTCCCCCAGACAGAACAGAATTCAGTGCTCTAACAAGATCTCTACTGCAGCTAAGCACATGGTGGAGGGAATGTTAGGGAACGGCCAGGCCACGCATATTCTCATCTTTCTGTTCAAACACCTTCCTTAAGCAGCTGGCAATCCCCTACATAACATGATTTTAAGAACATTTGCAGGGCAGTGGTGGCACACACCTTTAATCCCAGCACTGGGGAGGCAGAGGTAGGCGGATCTCTGGGAGTTCGAGGCCAGCCTGGACTACACGAGCTAGTTTCAGGACAGGCTCCAAAGATACAGAGAAACCCTGTCTCAAAAAAAAAAAAAAAAGGCAAAAAGAACA